CCTGAGAACTATGCAAAAACTTGCGGAGCACACTAGTGAATTGACAAGTGAACAGGCAGGTGCAGCACCAGAATGAGCAATGACAACAGGAAAGCCAAAAAGATGTCAACTGTGTCCTGCAGGAAAGGACAGGAAAACAAACTATATGTCTTATAAGTATAAGCAATATTTGGTATGGAACATGCAGTTTTCATATGTGAAGACTGCCTTGGGTGTTGACAGCTGAAACCAAGATTACTTCTGTGGTGGACTCATGTGTATATTTATGTTGTAGTGCACATAAGCTTTTTTTTTGTAGAACCAGGGATTGAACTCAGGCCCTTGTGTTTGCCAGGGAAGCACTTATTTGACTGAGCCATCTCCCGGCCCCTGCACATAGGCTTATTATTTCTGATGTTCTTTTGTAGGTTTTATGAGAGTAAACAGCTGATGTGAAAATGTTTTCTGTGCATGTGTGTTGGGGGGGGTACTGGGGATTGAACTCAAGACCTTGTGTTTGCCAGGCAGGTACTTATACCACTAAGCCATATCCCAGGCCCTGATGTGAAAATGTTGATGTCTATTTTAAGCACTCATTACACATTAGATATTTTACTGATATCTCATTTTCTCGCGACGTGCACATGGTATAATATAGTACTTCCTGAAAGGACAGGAAGACAAGAATGGCCTGCCACATAGGAAAGGAAAGCTAAGCACTCGTGCTGTTAGTGTAAACTGAGATCTGTGCATGAAACATGCAGATGCTATGTGTGAGGACAGGATTGGGTATGACAATTGAAGCAAACTTTTTTTTTTTTTTGGTACCAGGGATCAAACTCAGGACCTCGTGCTTGCCAGGCCAGCACTTATGCCACTGAGCTGTCTCCCAAGCCCTGAAATAAACATCGTTGTTGTAGAGTTCTATTGACATTTTCATTGTAGTTCTTTCAGGAATTTACTTCTGATGTTATCTTCTAGGTTTTGTAAGCAAGTAATAGCTGATGTGAAAATGTTGATGTTTATCCTAAATGTGCAATATGTATGAAGAATTTAATATTTTATTTTATGATAGTTTATGTTCCTATTAACTACATACTGTATAAGAACCTCCAGACAGGGCCAGGATATAGCTCAGTGGCGCAACACTTGCCTGGCAAGTGCTAAGTCCTGAGTTCAATTCCTGGTACCATTTCACACACACACACACACACACACACACACACACACACACGCATGCACGCGCGAACACACACAAACTTCTGACAAAACAAGACCACCAAGATGTCAAGTATGTCCTACAAAAAGGCCACAAAAGCAAAGGATGTGTGTTGTCAGTATAATTATGAGTGTGTATGGAATGTGCTGTTGTCATGTGTATAAGCTGTCACAGGTGTGATGACTGAAGTACAGATTATTTCTTGTCGAGTTCTATTGGCATTTTCATTGTTAATACAGGAATTTATTTTTGCTGTTATTTTTAGACTTTGTACACCAAAATCAGTACAAAGTTGAAGCTGGGGAAAATTTTGATGCTTTTTCATAAACCATAAATATTAAAAATGCAATACTTTATTTTTTCGATATTTTCCTGTTAATTACTCATTGTTTAATATAGACTGTAGTAATAATAGATTAATAATTCAAAAAATAATTCCTCAGTATAATTATTCTAAAGAATAAATCTGGATATCAGATACCAACAATAATGTGCCTTTCTGACAAAATTGATGTGATGCCCCTTATTCATCTCTTCTTGCCTTGCTTTGCTCTTCTTCTTCTTCTTCTTCTTCTTCTTCTTCTTCTTCTTCTTCTTCTTCTTCTTCTTCTTCTTCTTCTTCTTCTT